TTAACCACAGTGATGCGCTTTTGTGATGCAAAATTCACTTCACCACAAACATAGCAGAAGTTATCAGCTTTGTTCACACAAGTACGAGGCATATCTGCTCACTTTGGCTAAACAGAAATGTGTTCCGTTACAAAATCAAACACTGACAAATAAGAGAGCACGGCACTGTATAATTTCTAGAACTTATATAGGGCATTTTTTTCAGCAGAGAGATGTAAGCCTAGTTATGATTGCATTACCAATGCCTTCTAGGAATAATATCATGTATGATGCAATCCCAGGTTCAGATTGCATCATTCATTGTTTTGCTCAAAAAGCAAGTACAGTAGAACCTCGGAGATATACCGCATCAGAACTCGAACAATTCGGTGCTCGAACGATATTTCCCGAACCAATCGAAATTCGGAGGTCGAACGGGCAATCACGACTTGAAAGAAGCTGTATGGCTGAGACGCGTATGGCCAGCGTGCATGACGTTTGCCCAGACAAAGGTTTTACCACCTCCTCCTTCTCACCACCTTCCACTCAATCCATCAGCTCTCCTTACTACAGGTAAAGTGAAGTTCAAATTTTCATTTATTTCATTTATTCCATATATTTATCAATTTATTCCATTTATTTATTGTGTTTCTTGTTTCTTTTGTATGATTTTATGCATGTGATTCCTGTAAACTTCGTGTAGAAATGCTTTCTAATGAGAGATTTCTTGTGTCTGGAACCAATTAATGTCATTTACATTAATTCTTATGGGGAAAATTAATTCGGTGTTCGAACAAATCGGTGTTCGAACAAATCGGTGTTCGAATGGCTTTCTGGAACGAATTAAGTTGGATATCCAGGGTAACACTGTACTGTCCAAACCCGGTGATAGATTTATTCATAGATCCAGTCAAAGATGTATTTGAGTAATTTCTGCTTTAAATTGAGCTCCCTTCCCTTCGTAGTGACGTTAAGGGTGTCACCATGGTGGTAGCGCCAGGCACCGAAATAAGAGTTCTACTGTGCGTCTGGGGCCAGAGTGAGTACGCCATGCGAGCGGGCCCTGGGGGGCATAGTCCTGGCGGCGGCCTCAGAGAGGGCAAGTCAGGACATGGTAGTCTGGGTGAACCCGAGAGGGCACGTGACCAGGACAGGGTAGTGAGGGGGGCAAGCGAGGCTTGAGGGACACGTGACGCTCCGTCGAGATCCTTCGGGAAAGGTCTCGAAGGGGGAGCAAGGCCACGCTCAGGAGCATAAAGGGGCAGTCCGGAGTGTGTTCGAGGCTCGTCTGTGAAATCATCCTGGGGTGCCGCGTCTCGTCGTCGTTTCCGGGTCTTCGTTCTTCGCTCGGCATCGTGGGTCAGGCAGCGTGTACGCTGACTGACCCGTTCATGGAGTTAATCGGCTGCTCACGTGGTTAACTGTGTAATTGTCACTGAGATTCTAGATTTGAAGCTTTCGTGACTACAAGGATTCAAATTCTTAGGTTTTTTCGGTAAAGTCACGTAGGTAAAAAATTAAAATTAATAAAAGTAAAATAAGAAATAAAATAAAAATCACGACGTTTCGGAAGCAACGAAACCTTCCGTCTTCAGATGCAGCTATCGTGCTGTGACTGTTCCACCTGAAGACGGAAGTTTGTGTTGCTTCCGAAACGTCGTAATTTTTATTTTATTTTACTTTTATTAATTAAAATGTTTTACCTACGTGACTTTACCGAAAAAACCTAAGAATATGTCACTGAGATGTTGAAGCCGTGCACGCTTGTGTAGTTAGCCCTGTTGGGGTGTTGAAATTAACGTGTAGCCTCCAACTCCAGCGTGTGCCTCCGTACAACGCACTACACCTTTATAACTCACTTATCCTCTGCCATTCCCAAGTCAAGGGTCGTATAGTTCAAGTTCAAGTTCATTTATTAGGTATCGCCCTGTGAGTCATTCGGCTCTTGAATCGGGTGCAACCGCAACAAACAAAAACACGAACAAAAAACATCTTAAAGTGAATATGTGACTGAGTGCAAAAAGAAAAACCAAGAAAAGACATCAAAATATTGCAGAAAAAACACCGTACACCAACACTGTGTGCAAAAATCCCAGTGGAATGCAAGTAAAACAACCAACAACAACCACAAGACAACTCAGATTAAGGCCATCAGTCTAACTATATACTGACCCAGTAGCATATCTTGAAAACTGGAGCCAATCAACAATTTCAAGCATAATATAAATTCTCAGTGACCCAGAATTAGTAATGTTGTACGACATTTATTTCGGAAGCATTTTGGCTGTGGACCAGTGTTAATGGCATTATTGATGAATTCCAGTATACGGCACTTCGACAGTATACCGTCATTCATCCGGGGTAACGTCTTTACAACGTGAGCCAAGATGTAATCCATCACGGACAATGATCATCATCGCGGGAAATGTGACAAATTGAACCATCGGTCAATACGCCTCCTTGAACATTATTACTGTTGTCTTTCCAAAGATCAAAAAAATAATTTTACACATTCCATCAGCCACACACACACACAGAGCCTCCTGGGCGTACACAACTGCAGCCGGCGTTGTGGTTCGACACACGCAAACATTCATCATCTTCATCGGCAAAAAAAGTCGGGCTCTCTCGATCGCAAGAACTTCCGAGAATTTCTAAAAGACCTCATCTCATTAGTATTTGGAACGCGGTGTTGTGCACCGTGCCGCGTTCACGACGTGCTCACTCGTGCCCACATTGCCCGGCAGCGTTCTCGCATATTATTGGCCTTCCTACGTGTGCAGGGCCTATGGGTGAATATGCAATGTGAGTGTGAGGAGTGGTTGTGTAACGTGGCCTCAAGGTGCACCTGGCTGTGGTGACGTCACCGTCACTTAGTTGCGAATGGCGGGTATTGGGATTGGTGTGTAGTGGTTAGCGCCCTGCGCTACGAATCCGGCGACACGAGTTCGATTCCCGCTCACGGCCAACACCAGTGACGAATATCCCCTAGGTCGACTCAGCCTAAAATGAGTAGCTGGTGCGGTGCATAAACATCGCCACTGGGGAGACAAAGATGGCCGGGCGTGGTGCTGGCCACCCACCCCCTCGTGTGCCGTTGTGGCCGAAACGTCGTGAGAATAATTTTATTATGTTTTATTTTTATTATTTTATTATTTCCAACCTTAACATAGTTTAATGTTGAACGAGCATTCACGTCTTACCCCTTGGATTTAGTCACCTGGCAATTCACCAGCATTGTTTCAAGCAAGCCTGGCTCTATGAATGATGCGCGGAATGTCAAAACCAGTCCAGTTTGCTTTGGTGTCGAACAAATCTTGCTGAAATGATGCACTTGTAGAAGGCCCGTGTGACTGATTGGACGCGTCAAAAAATACTTGAGATGTTTCACGCGGCGGGACAGATATAGGCGAAGGATGCGAATGGACTTCTTCGTGATGAATCTCGATAGCTATATGACTCAATAATCCTGCCACGTGGGATTCGATGGAAGAGGATCACGGGACTATTTCTGAAGTGACTCTCAGCAGAGACCTATGGTTGTCCCCACACTGTGGGCTCACCTTCTATGCACAGAGTGTTTGGCATAGGTCAAACGTCACCGCTGGAATTTAGTCTGGATAAAAAAAATACATATTGCGTGGTCGTTTTTTATGTCATTGGTGATCTGCCGAGACATTAATCCATTACACTGGCAAAGCCCCCGTCTTACCACAACTTAGGTTATGCAGTCACTGTGTCTCTATGCAAATATATGGTCTCTATGCAAGTCACTGCGACCGAGCCATAGCCGGTTACTCGCTACCCAAATATATGGGTCTCTGTGTGAGTCTATGGGTCTCTTTGTAAGTCTATGGGTCTCTGTGTGAGTCTATGAGTCTCTGTGTGAGTCTATGGGTCTCTGTGTGGTGAGTCTATGGGTCTCTGTGTGAGTCTATGGGTCTCTGCGTGAGTCTATGGGTCTCTGTGTGAGCCTATGGGTCTCTGTGTGAGTCTATGGGTCTCTGTGTGAGTCTATGGGTCTCTGTGTGAGTCTATGGGTCTCTATGTGAGTCTATGGGTCTCTGTGTGGTGAGTCTATGGGTCTCTGTGTGAGTCTATGGGTATCTGTGTGGTGAGTCTATGGGTCTTTGTGTGAGTCTATGGGTCTCTGTGTGGTGAGTCTTTGGGTCTCCGTGTGAGTCTATGTATGTTGAACTTCTTACGCGCCGTACGTAGCCAGCCATGCTAATCGGAGGTGCAGGGGAAAGGACAACAAACTAACACACGAAAAAGTGTAATCACAGGCGGTAACTGAAACTTGGACTCTAACCCAGGACCTCAGTGGTACCAGCTCAGCGCTCTTGACTCCTGAACCACTGAGGTTTACATCCAGGTAACTGCGGTACCAAGATTAAAACGGGTTCTCAAGTGTATGGACCTAAGCCAGAGTCATCGGTGAACTGCACACAAACAAAATCAGTGTTTTGTAACCCTAATTTGCCTAAAATTCCAGACCTGAGGGTTGCGGCGGCAGCATGTTGAGTATGGCGTTCAGACCTCTCTTTGGCGACTGACTCCAGCACCACTACACTATACACTACTATACACAGACTCTATCTCTTCCTAGGGAATTCGCAGGAGTTCCCAGACTAGCCGAGTGACATCGTCCCACTGGCATGTCCAGGTAGAATGAAATATATAATAGTTGAACGCTAGTTTTAAATGTGATTGGTTGTTCGCGTGATATCATCTCCCCTATGTAAGAATCTTCCTGGATGCTCCTGAAGATGCTTTGCACAGTTTGAAGCGAGCCGGTTCGTGGCTAATCGCCAAATTAGATTTTGAAAATTGTTCTTAAACTCACGAGCGAACCGAAACCATAATTGGCGTGTTGAACGCTCCTGCCCGTGAACAATTCACTCGCTCAGCTACGTCGGGTGATGGGGGGCCTCATGAACGAACTTTGGCCACATCTTCGCGTGACCTGACCCACGAGCCCAACTGTGGACCCTCTCTCTCCGTCTCTCTTCGGCCTGCAGTCCCGTTCCGATCGTGCGGCGGCATGCCGGCGCCGACGTTCGCAGTGAGGCCGCGCTCTCTGCACGTGACCTCTCGCGGGGTGCTCATGACGTCGCGACCTCTGACCCTGGCCGCGGGGTCGGAACTTCACGTGGCCGTGAGGGCGCGCGGCATTCACGGTGGCAAAACGTGGAGGAGTGCAGCACGGGTTCTTGTGCGGTGCCACGCTCAGGTACGTCTCTCGCACCCAACCCCCCCCCCCCCCCCCCCCCGCGATGTTTGTTGTCAACCGCCTCGAGGTAATTCCTCATCCCTTGATCTCATGGGACAGCGCCACGGTGGCTCGGAGGTGTTAACTACCTCGCCTGGTATACGGGAAGTCATGGGCTCGATTCCAACCCTGACGCCTGCTGCTGTATATTTGGAGTTTGCGTGTGTCTCTCTCTCTCCCTGTGGACACGTGGATTTTTTTACGGGTCCTCCAGTTTTGCCCTTTACATTTAGAATCAACATCACGTGTTTAGAGTGTTTGGCTGCTATACATTTCCACGTGATAAGCCACTTCGTTGATTTATCATTTGTAGACAGGTCGCTTCTGAAAAAGAACTATATAGCTCAGTGGGCCTTACCTGGTAAAATAAAAAAAAATTGTTAAGTTGTATATATTTTTATACTGAAAAACGCCTTATTTGAAGGCGCTTTACAATTGTAATGATGATTCTGACAACTGGAATTGTAGAGGGTTGCTTCATTTCTTAATTAGGGCGCTTCACGAAGATAACTTGGTAAGGGATGACACACAGGTAACTTGGGCCAGGGTTGGCACGCAAGTAGCGACGACGTAAGACAGCAACGACAGCGACAATGCGAAGACAGCGACGGCGTGAAGACAGATGACCCCGATCCCATGGCAGCCCCGTGCCTCGCTGGTCACCCCCTTTTATCCCCGGCGTGGTCTCACTCCGCTCCCGGCCACGCCCCCTTTCTCGAACTTTCTCCCTGATGGTTCCCCTTTGTGACCAGTCCACGCACTGTCCTTGCACCCGCACTGTCTCCACACCCGAACTGTCTCTACACTCTGGGCTTCTTACGCGGTTTGTTCGTCTTGTTTCCATTTTTGGCCACTTCTGACCCCAGATGTAGTGGGTATAAATTGACAAATAAACTTCTGATGAGGCAACACAATATTTATTGTCTTTCTTGCAAGTCCCTAACACAAAGGGTATATCGGTCCCCTTACCAGATACCTCGGGAGGTATGGCCTCCGGACTATACGTGCCCTATCACTGGGTACCCCGTTACCCTTCGTCCTCTGGCTGGGGCCCTAGGGGAGACTATCTGACCCGACCGTACCCGGTCCATGGGTCCTGACCACTGGCCACACTGAGCTCCGGCCCTTAGAAGAGATTGGGGTCCAGGGTCCTATCCTTCAGACCAGGTCTTCGTTGTTCAGCTTGCAGATGACTGAGCCAGACCTCTGGAGAGGTCCGGCTTATATACTGGCTCGTGGCTTGCTCCGCCCTAGCCACGCCTCCATTCTAGAACTTTCTGGAAGGTAACATCCCCTGATAATTACTTTTTACCCTTTTATCTGGCAACAAAACTGACACCTTTTTTACGAGGAGTCATGTTTGCATAGACCACAATACCTGCAGTCATAATGCTAACAAAAAACACAACTCTGATTATGTATGCACTGTCCTTGAAGTTGATTGGTCCACACCCGAGACAGCTTTCCTTAGAGCCTAGTATCACATGGGTTGGACCAGATGACGCCAAAAGGCGCACAACTCAAATACAATGCACCATCAGAGTATGAGAGCTCGGAGTAAGCATTTACACCATTGGTACCTCATTTGCCAGTAAAAAATATGATAATTCGTTTTTTACCCTTTTATCTGGCAACAAAACTGACACTTTTTTTACGAGGAGTCATGTTTGCATAGACCACAATACCTGCAGTCATAATGCAAAAAAAAAACATAACATGACTGCTGTGGTTTGTCGTTGGCCCCTTCTTGGGCCATGGACATTAGCCCTGGCGTGATAGCGCTTCCGCTCCCCATTGACGATAAGGGGAAGCTACCAGCCCACAGAGTGGTGAGTGACGATTACCCCTACACAATGATAAAAATCGTGCACAAAACGATACTCATTGAGATAATGAAAACTGGGGTTGTTGTTATTAAAAGTGGTGGTGTAATTATGGTGACAGGAGAACAGGTGAGAGTGGTGAATTAGGGTTTAGGGTACTGATATGTGTAGTGATAGGGGTAGTGATAGGGAGTTGGGGTAGTGATAGGGGTAGTGATAGGGTTTGGAGTAGTGATAGGGGTTGGGGTCGTGATAGGGGGTTGGGGTCGTGCTAGGGGGTTGGGGTAATGATGGGGTTTGGGGTGGGGTCTGGTCATAGCTGGGGGCGGGGAGTAGCAGAAACAGGATGGGCAAGGGGAGAAGAGGTGGTTTTAAGGGAAGAAGGGAAGCAGGTTAGTTTGCTATCTTGAATCTAAAAAGAAAAAAGTCCAAGTAATTTCCTCGCTCAAATGAACAGGAATTTGGTGGGGGGGGGGGGGGGGTCATCTCCCATGCACAGCCCCCCAGGGCCAGTGATGGAAATTCCACATTCCTGCGGAGCTACCTTTCCTGATAATTTTTTTATTATTACAAGACATTGAAGGAGTATTTGAGGTCACCTTGTTCACTCACTGAGTACCTGACTTAGATGCTGTCTAAATTATCTAGCAGCTTTGTCTGCCTGCCTTACGTTTGTTACTGCCACTCTCCCTTCCTGTCTTCGCATCTGTGCATTTGTTAGCCTGGCGACCCGTCTGCCTGCCACGCTATCTCTATGGCCATCTTTGCGTCTGTTCATGTCTTCTTCACTGGCTATAACTGCGTCTGCCAGTCACTATCTCTGTCACTCTACCCGTCCACCCATCACTCTACCTTCCTATATGTCACATCTAGCACTACGTCTGACTGTCGTTATGCCTCTCTGTCTGCCCGTCTCTCTCTCTACCGATCCGTAACACTTTCTATCACTTTTTTACCATTCACTTTGCCTGCTTTTCCATCTTTCCATCCATCCGTGCGTCCGTCTCTCTCTGTGTTTGTCCTTCCTCGCTCCCCACATTTGTCCTCAGGATGGTGCGGTGTCGTCTCGGTGCCCGAGCCGCGTTCGTCGAGAGTGGACAGTTCCAAAACCTTACGTCAACGAGAACGATCCCGGCCCCTACCCGGCCTTCGTCACCATGGTAACGCACGCACACAGCGGCCTAGCGCGGTGGGTACAGGCCCTGATGCGAGGAAGGAACGAAACTGGGTCCCCATGTCCAATTCCCCTGCCACTATTCGGAGATCTGCGCCTAGCAGAGGTCGCAAACGGGTTTTGATTCCTTACCCGTACCCGGCCGCACCAGGGTCGCAAACGGGTACCCGTACCCGGCTGGGTACGGGTAGCCGTGTATCGGGTAGGGTACGGGTATCGGGTACCCGGTTGCGACCTCTGGCGCCTAGGCCGCTCCGGGCCGGTACCGATTGCGCCGCCCGTGTACTCGATAGCTGAGCCGCTGCCTAATCGTGGTCCCAAATTGTGAGCCACGAAGGTGGAGAGATGTTATCTCCCTCGCCTGGTGTGCAGGATGGTCGGGGGTTCGACCCCAACCCTGAGGCCTCTTGTATATTTGGAGTTTGCGTGTCTCTCTCCCCGTGGCGTTGTGGGCTTTTTTTCTACGGGTCCTCTGGTTTTGTTTTTCCTTTCCGCATGTAGAGACATGCGTTGAGATTATTTATATTTACTTTCCACCTCGCTGAGCTATGCTTTGTGGCCAGGTCGCTTCTGAAAAATAAGCGAATTGCTCAGTGGGTTTTACCTGGTAAAATAAAAAGTAACAATTTCGTTTTGATTTAAAGCTTTCGTGACTGCAGGGATTCATATTCTTGGTTCTTTCGATAAAGTCACGTAGAAGGGAAATAATAAAATATGATTGTTTTATATTTTTATTATTTCCCTTCTACGTGACTTTACCGAAAGAACCAATAATATAACAATTTAGTGTTTTGTATTTTTTGCGATTTGCTTACCTTTCCAATGCTTTGCGCTCCTATTGTGTATTTTGTATTATTTGTTGTTGTAACCTTCTAGCCTGCCCCTACTGGACATCTGGCACTTTACAGGTCATCGGATTCCTCCAGCATAAACAAACCTATCAGTGCCGACCTTATTACAAACGAAGTCAGACCTTCACCATTGGAACCTCATTTTCCAGTAAAAAATATGATAATTGTTTTTTTACCCTTCTATCTGGCAACAAAACTGACACCTTTTTTTATTACGAGGAGTCATGTTTGCATAGACCACAATACCTGCAGTCATAATGCAAACAAAAAACATAACTCTGATAATGTATGCACTGTCCTTGAAGTTGATTGGTCCACACCCGAGACAGCTTTCCTTAGAGCCTAGTCTCACATGGGTTGGACCAGATGTCTTTGAGTTGTGCGCCTTTTTGCGTCATCTGGTCCAACCCATGTCCTGGGATGTGTCTGGGATTTTTTTCAGTCTTCCCAGGAATGTTAAAGGTCCCACATAGTAAAAATAATTCTCCACTCGTTCGAGACAATGCACACGCATGCTGTCCTCCCCTCTCATCATCATGCGAGATATTCTTTCGATTTAAAGCTTTCGTGACTGCAGGGATTCATCTTCTTGGTTCTTTCGGTAAAGTCACGTAGAATGGAAACAATAAAATAATAAGAATAAAACATAGAAAAATAGTTATTTTATTATGTTTAAATTATTTTATTATGTTTTAATAATTGTTTATGAGAAATGCAGATATGGAATTAGTGGTTCTTTCGGTAAAGTCACGTAGAATGGAAACAATAAAATAATAAAAATAAAACATAATTAAATAATTACTTTATAATAATTATTTTATTATGTTTTAATAATTATTTTTATTATTTTATAATTTCCATTCTACGTGACTTTACCGAAAGAACCAAGAAGACGAGACATTCTTCTTTGCCTGATATCTCCATTTTTAAAATCACTATATATATATATATACACATCAGAGGTAGCAACCGTAGTGGACCGCCACTGGCTATTTATTTGCGTACACGCGCGCGTGTCCGCAGTACACATCGGACAAAATGAAGGCTCACATGTACAAGCTCACGGGCCCCGGCGCGGATGAGGATCCCGTGGGGCTGTTCTACCTGGACGACCATGGACGGATATACGTGAAGGAAGCTGTGGATCGCGAGACGCTGAAAGTTTACCAAGTACGATGCGTGAAATCACGGGCCTTCAAAAAGTATTGTCGCTCCCTCGGCATTAGAGCTGTCAAGCAGCGGGGCGGCAGGAAGGCCCCAATGCCTGCTTGTTGTAGAGGATTGCGGTTTGACTCCGTAAGGAAGTCCCAGTTAATACCTCGGTTTGTATTAACCGTGAAATGCTACACGCAGTCCACTTCACTCAAGATTGAACACTAAGCGTTCCCGCAATGCCATCGGAAATGAGTGGGGCATTAAATGCCAGCGTCGAATTCGAAGAAAAAGAAGAAAATACGCTGCAAATTACAGCAAACCCTCACGGTGTGCGAGCTCTAGATTCGCGAGTTTCGCATATTCGCGAGTTACTAAGCGTATACGAGTTCCTTATTCGCGACCTGCTGGACTCCAGTATTCGCGAGCGTACAACGTGCCAGACCACCGACAGCGGGTATCTCGGCCTCGCTGTGCGCTGCGTTGCACCGCTAGTCGAGTAGACAACCATGTGTTCAATAAACCCTCGAAGCCAGGATGACCGTCCAACTCCGATCGTCATTTATTGATTGTAACAGGTAAAACTGGTGAGAAAACACAGATACAGCATCTGTTATAATTCGGAAACACCCACACAATGAACACCACAGCATCAGAACATTGTCTCAGATAACAATAGATCCTGGAAGGACCAGGCCCCCACATTACCCCTGAACAACTAGACAAAGGCACAAGCTGATGCGTTGCATACAGGCACAGTGTATTCATCCCACTGCACCCCAAATGTACAGCATTACACTTAACACTAAACTGTGGATGAGATACTTCGTCATCTTTACTCTCAGGATCGCAACATAGGCACAAGTCTGACTCGACCTACTAAATCACAAGTAACATCCACAATAAGGAAAGTCACAGGCTTCGTTACTAACTAGGCCTCGTATTTACTACAACAACTTAACGGCACCATAAAGGCATTTACATTGCTATAACGGTCATTCCAACATTACAACAGCATTTCCAATATTAGAGGAATATAAACAACTTACAGATATTGCTTCTTAAGCTCCCACAATGGATAAGTGCGGCTGTGGTCTCACTGAGATGCGATGCGTGCCGCCATCTTGACTTATCTGAGTAATGGCTGAAGCCCGCGTGGTACAGTGGAAATCTAACATCGTCCCTTCCTGGTCACGTGACCAACATTAGCATCAAAAAACAGGAACTTCCTGTTAACGTACGCTCCCCATCTGCCGTGAGGAAAGACAGCGGGAAGGTGCGCGCAGAATGTTGTTCCATTTTAAATTGTCTGCGATGTCTTCTTGGTTCTTTCGGTAAAGTCACGTAGAAGGGAAATAATACAATAATACAAATTAAACATGATAAAATAATTCTCACGACGTTTCGGCCACAACGAAAAACAGCCGTCCTTAGGTGAAGAACAGGTCTGTCGGAAAGACAGCGTCTGAATGAACACCACCAAGCTTGGTGGTGTTCATTCAGACGCTGTCTTTCCGTGGTGGTGTTCATTCAGACGCTGTCTTTCCGACAGACCTGTTCATCACCTGAGGACGTCTGCTTGCGTTGTGGCCGAAACGTCGTGAGAATTATTTTATTATGTTTTATTTGTATTATTTTATTATTTCCATTCTACGTGACTTTACCGAAAGAACCAAGAAGATGAATCCCTGCAGTCACGAAAGCTTTAAATCGAAAATTATCTGCAATGATTCGGCACCCCCCCCCCCCTTGGCTGCCCATGTTGTTGTCAGTCTCGCAGTAATCCCGCCCGTGAGATTGCGTCTGCGGTAGGCTGACATTTTGGTATAAACGAGTCCACTGACAATTAGTTTTTTTACCCTTTTATCTGGCAACAAAACTGACACCTTTTTACAAGGAGTCATGTTTGCATAGACCACAATACCTGCAGTCATAATGCAAACAAAAAACACAACTCTGATAATGTATGCACTGTCCTTGAAGTTGATTGGTCCACACCCGAGACAGCCTTTTGGCGTCATCTGGTCCAACCCATGTGAGACTAGGCTCTAAGGAAAGCTGTCTCGGGTGTGGACCAATCAACTTCAAGGACAGTGCACATTATCAGAGTTGTGTTTTTTGTTTGCATTATGACTGCAGGTATTGTGGTCTATGCAAACATGACTCCTTGTAAAAAGGTGTCAGTTTTGTTACCAGATAGAAGGGTAAAAAAACAATTATCGAGTCCACTGAGGTCTATTAAAAAATAAGGCGAATGCAATCAGGCAAAGTGTGGCAGCCAGCGCTAAAATGATCACTGTGCATTGTTATCAAACACCTGCATCTCCTCTCGCGGTGAGAGACGGTTCACTGCATTCAATTACACTGGTCAACACACTTTTTCTGGCATAAGGTATTCCAACGGTTTTCAGGTAATTTTGGGGTGCCGATTCCAAATCTGGCATCAGTTTTTGTCTATCACATCAGGTGTTTGAGATATCAAATATTGCATTTTCAATAAAAACTGCAGAAGAAAAATATTAAATGAATGTGGATATCTGCATAAAATGATATTATAAACACACTATCCTAAAAATACAGCACCATATTTTAACACTAAAGCAGTCACTGACTCGCAACAACTTGCAATCATAAGTGACAGAGTTAATTTCGGGTAAAATCAATGAAAATGGGGTATGCCGATAGCATAAAAATGAGATGTGATAGAGCAAATCTGAGATCAGATTTGGAATCAGCGCCCTGAAATTAGTCTAAAACAGCTGCAAAAGTCCAGGCCACAAAAAAATGTTTTTTTTTTGTTGACCAGTGTTATAATTACACATAGTCATCATTGCCCCCTACTGGCAGACCTGGTGCTGAGCTATCTTGTGCTGAGGATGGGTGGAGGAGGGCAGAGATGGAGAGGGGAGGAGGGATGGTGGTGTATGGAGGAGGTGACATCGGGTGAAGAAGAAAGATGATTGTAGCCACGGGGATTGCGCCCATCAAGCCCAGTGGCAGCATCCACCGTGAGTCTGTAGCCGTGGGAGCGAATACGGTGCTCACGCCGGAACTCATTGCTCCCGCAGATGTTTGTGCACGCGTACGACGAACAGGGCCACGAAGTCGAAAATCCTGCCACGATGACGGTGCTGGTGACCGACGTCAATGACGAGACTCCGCAGTTCGTGGAGAAAAACTTCACGGGAACGGTGCTGGAGAACCAACCAGCCGGTGAGCGTATTAAACGAAAACGAGAATAATTTTTTTTTTATATAAGAGCTGCCCTCCTTCGTGTTTCTCAGACTACTTTACGGTCTAGATTTGAAGCTTTCGTGACTGCAAGGATTCATATTGTTAGGTTTTTTCGGTAAAGTCACGTAGGTAAAATTTTTTAATTAATAAAAGTTAAGTAAAAAATAAAATAAAAATCACGACGTTTCGGAGGCAACACATCTTCTTAGGTTTTTTCGGTAAAGTCACGTAGGTAAAAATTTTAAATTAATAAAAGTTAGATAAAAATAAAATAAAATTCACGACGTTTCGGAGGCAACACAAGCTTCCGTCTTCAGGTGGACCCGTCACAGCACGATAGGTGTATCAAGTGAGAGAAATTCCAAGAACACAGTATTTGTATATATACTGGTTGAGGGTGGGAGGAGCCAAGGTAGGCCCTGGATATTATTTTTGTGAGGCTCGGTGCGGCTGAAGCACGCTGCTAGGAATGAGCCTTTGTTGTGTAAACTAGGTGCGGATGATATAAAGGTGCGTGTAAATGGGACTGAGCCTTTTGTTATGTAGAGGTGGTGCAGCTGAAATCGCTGCCAGGAATGAGTCTTTGTTGTGTAGAATGGTGTATATGACAAGTGACTTGCATTACATCTCACTTGAAGCATTTTATGGGGTGATAATTGCTGCTTTGTGTGTAATCCCTCCTGAGCAATATGCGGTATATATTTTCTTTAAATTGGCAAATTTGAACCACCATAATGCTGTTATAAAATGGCCAACTGGTTTCAAATTATGGCAGGGGATGTTTGAAGATCCACTGTGATTTAAAAAATATATATATAGTTGATACACCCGCAGTAATAACCAGCATGTCTGGCTGTATCTTAATCGTAAACCTCTGCAACAAGTAGAAAACAGCCTACTGCTGGGCCATGTCACTGCCTCAACTGTGCAGTGCAGCGATAATAATAACGATGTGTTATTTGTATACATGCACCTTTTTTATTTTTTTTAAAGCCGGAAGAATTTGTAACGTCTTCTTGGTTCTTTCGGTAAAGTCACGTAGAAGGGAAATAATAAAATAATAAAAATAAAGCATAATAAAATAATATAATTCTCACGACGTTTCGGCCACAACGCAAGCAGCCATCCTCAGGTGAGGAACAGGTCTGTCGGAAAGACAGCTATCGCATCGTAAGATCGAAATATCGTAAGTCGGACCATCGTAACTCGGGGACTATCTGTGTAAGGAATGTGTGCTACAGGTTGATTGAAGAGATTGTTGGTGTTACATTGTGATAATAAATGATCAATTGATGGCTAGAGTTGTTTACCGACATTATGAATTTAGTTCGCTACGACGCAAACACGGAATTTTCTTTTGTTTCTGTTCAGGCACGACCGTAATAAATATAGAGGCGACAGATGGAGATGATCCAGCTACAGACCACGTCATCATCATGTACACCATCATCTCCCAGAAGCCACCCTTACCCAAAGCGTTCACCATCGACAGGAGCAGTGGCACCATCACTACCCTGATAAAACTGGACAGAGAGGTGAGGTCACGGTCACCATCGTCACTACTTCCACCATCATCGCCAGCATAATGTGATTACAATCTCCGTCGTCACCAATACTAGCACCATCACAACACTGATCGTGCTGGACAGAGGTGAATCCACCTCCACCACCACCACCATCGTCACCACCTACACCATCATCATTGTTACTACCTCGACCGTCACCAACGTAATGCTCCAAGACCTTCTGAATTCCAGCCAACAATCCTCCGGTGATCGAGGGTCTTGATGATGTCTGTGCCAAGATATGACCCATCTGCTAAACCTAAGGAAAGCTGTTCCATTCACCGATGGACCATATATTCCAATCATGGCACTCTTAGAAGCGTTTCTGTTCCTTAAAATCTAGCTGCGGACAATTTCGTCGCACCAACATTTTTTACATTTCTCACGCTGCAAGAGTTGTGGGCACGTGCAGCCATTGTATACCTCGTGCAATCTGTCAATGGTGGTATTATTCTGGTCAAAACCAGTGTGGGCACTTGCATCCGGTGATCTCAGGTACCCAAAGCCGTCCATAGGGCACAGCGAATCGGGGCGACCACCCTGGGCCCTGGCGCTTCAACCTCACGGTGTCAGATGTAATACTTTAGTTTGAAGGTGTGTCAGGAGGCCCATATGGTGGGATTTGCCCCGGCCCCGCACCTCCCCTACGGACGGCTCTGCAAGTAAACCTCACAGACACCTCCTGAACTTTGTCCCTGAGGAACTGCGAATATCCACCCTCCATATTTAAGGAGGAATGCTCAGAAATATGCTTCCCTCGTGTTGCTGTCAGGGCTTCCTGGAACTGGGTAATTGTCTCTTCAAGTTTGGTCCAGTTTGGTAATGTTGAGTTTCTTTGGGAGGTTTGACATTGACCTCTTGATTTTCAGGATGGATCGAAAGGGAGAGCCCTTGTGTGTACCAGAACACTGTGTCCACCTCAACTGCATGCAACACCCTGGTGACAAGGACCTCCGTAACATCTCTCTGCCTGAGGAATCACATAGCACTGGTCAACAAAAAAAAACATTTTTTTCTGGCCTGGACTTTTGCAGCTGTTTTAGACTAATTTTTAAGCTATCGGCATACCCCCTTTTCATTGATTTTACCCAAAATTAACTCTGTCACTTACGATTGCAAGTTGTTGCAAGTCAGTGACTGCTTTAGTGTTAAAATATGGTGCTGTATTTTTTAGGATAGTGTGTTTATAATATCATTTTATGTAGATATCCACATTTATTTAATATTTTTCTTCTGAAGTTTTTATTGAAAATGCAATATTTGATATCTCAAAAACCTGATGTGATAGACAAAAACTGATGCCAGATTTGCAATCGGCACCCCAAAACTACCTTCAAAACCCGTTGGAATACCTTATGCCAGAAAAAGTGTGTTGACCAGTGTAATCAATCAGACGTCAGTGTTTAGATCTTGGATGGATCCAGGTTGTTTTTAGTCTGTCTGGGAGGAGGGAAAAAGTGTTAGCACGCCATGCCGGCCGCCTGAATAGGTGCTCACGGACAGCACTTGCCCCAACCCATCTGATACGGTTGTAGTGAGTCCAACTGAGTCACAGACGTTGTCTTGGGAGCAACACTATTTCTTATATCAACTCAACACAACATAACGTAACCTACACTCGGGTGTTGAACGCCCATCTAACCACGCTACGGCAGAACTAGACACGGTCCGCGTGGCTAGAGGCTTCTTCAACCCGACGTGGATCATCATCACCAGCAACACGAAGAACCCCGAGCCCCTCACGGGGCCCCCGTTATATCGGCCCGGGCTGGGGCTGGCTCCGCCCCTCGCCCCGCCCACCTTCTAGATCTCCTGAGCTCTTTCCCGAAGGCTCCCGAGAGCTCCTCTATACCACGTGACCACCCAGCAGCCCCCGTCCACCGGTGGCCCCCCTCCAATATCATCCGGTCACGTGTTGGCAGGTCAACCAGCGTATCGTGCCCCAACGTAACGCTGGCTGGCTGACACTTTCTCTCGCTCCCTCACCGGGAGCCCGCACCGCACACCGTACGTGGTGCCTCTGCGCTAACCAGCGCACAACCAAGCCCCGCTAGGGCTGGTACTACACCCAGTAACCGGGCTGCACATAATGACAACAGATTATCCGCCGTGGCCTCGCAAGGCCGGCACCACACAGTGACATTCAGAGTCACTACACGGTCATAAAGGCGGTCTTTGTATGCGAGATAGGATGACGATATCCCATATCCCCTCCCTTTGATGCTGCTAATCCTGCATAATGCATGGGCATAAGTAGTACTAATCACATACCTGCATTTCCCATAAATATGCTAAATTCCTCTTGATATGCATATTCTTTTGTCAAGGCGCCCTTTTCCCCCCTTCCAACCCAGCTTATATATATGCTCCAAGCACGTGTGCTGTTTCATTCAGACGCTGTCGCCTTGACAGACCTGGTTTTCACCTGAGGACGGCTGCTTGCGTTGTGGCTGAAACGTCGCGAGAATTGTTTTATTATTTTTTATTTGTATTATTTTATTACTTCCCTTCTACGTGACTTTACCGAAAGAACCAAGAAGAGGATGACGACATTGGTTTGTACGCAGACAGTTGATGGTGGCCTGTGGAAGCATTCATTTAGCAATGGAGTGACCGTCGCCTATGTTGACGATGATACGTGCGTGTGTGCGTGTGTGCAGGCCGTGAGTCAGTTCCTGCTGGAAGTGAACGCCAGTGACTGCAACGGCTCCCCCATAGGGCTCAGCAACACGACCACTGTGACCATCATCGTGGGGGACACAAACGACAGCCCCCCAGAGTTCACCTCCCCCAAGGTCTTGTCTCGCGCGCACACAATTCCCAGTGTCGCACAGCGATCATCGGCAGCCACAGCAATAGTGTAGAGGAGTAAAATGGGGACGTGACGTCAGGTGTGCCGTTCAGTGCGATGACGTCACGTCTCCTGGGGTACTTAAGGGATACCTCATGACGTTAGCGGGGTCACTGTGGGAACGGGTAGAGTAAGCAGGGTGAAGAGGGAACTAGGGGTAGAGAGAGGGATCGAATAGGGAGTCTAGGGAGTAGCCGGTGGTAGCCGTAGAGGTGCTTCTCTCTCCGCTCGGTGGAGTCGGCAGAGTTCACGATCCGACACGAGAGAGAGAGACCGGAGCGAGCCGGCAGGGACCCGGACTCAGAGTAGGACCCCTAGCCCCTGGGAGTTGTGTACCCTGTGTATTATTGATAACCTTTAATAAACCCTGGCTAAAGCCCTTAACTTACCTCCTTTTCCGAGTGCGTCCGTGGGAATTCCTCTACAATAGTATCAGTATCATCAACATGCCGAACATGGTAGCGCGATGTTAACTACATCGCCTAATAGACAAGTGGTCGTGGGATCCTGACCCTGACGCTCGTTGTATATGAAGAGTCTTGCATGTTCTCCTGGTAGTTGCGTGGATTTTTCTCCGGGTCTTCTGGTTTTCCCTTCCACATTTAGTATTTGGCTGCTTTAAATTTCCACGTGTTAAGCCACTTCGTTGAACTATCATTTGTTGCATGGTCGCTTCTAAAAAAGAGCTATATAGCTCAGTAGGCTTTACCTGGTAAAATAAAAAAATATTTTAATTTTTTGTTCATAATTTTAACAATTATAATATTTATTTGACTGTCAAACGATGAACGTCACTCTCATTATCTCACTTTCTTGCAAATTAGACTATCCTGGCCTCTTTGGATTTCTCGCCTGGTTAAAACAAAATTAACTTGAACCATGCATCCCGAGCAATTGGGAAAGTGCTGCCCTCCACTGTGTGTGAACCAGAAGTTACTCGAAGGGATATTGCACGTCTGTGGGCCGCTCTGCAAAACGGAAGGATCGCTTTGCTCTCCGAGATATCCGAATGCGTCCTTTGTCTCGCGACAATGATGATGCTGACATAATCAACGTTTTTGGGTTTAGTTCGCGTTATTTATGAATGTGTCGTAACCCTCCACCACCCGACACGGCCAATCAGTAAAAAAGTGTCACGTTGACAAAAGATAAATAGTTCACTGCTTTAGCCCACCGGTGTGTTGAAGCGTGAAACCACAACATTTACAATTTTTGAGTTCGCTGGTAATTGCATCCAGCATCATCGGGCAATTCGCCAGAATGGTGAGGCTCTGCTCTGTCTCCCGTTCTTATATAGAGCAGCAGCAGGGTGACGTCATCATTAACTCATCAACTCATTTGTCGATTGTCAACGTGACACTTTTTTACTGATTGGCCGTGTCGGGTGGTGGAGGGTTACGACACATTTATAAATAACGCGATCTAAACCCAAAAACGTTGATTATGAATAATATTGGTCACGAAAGCCTACGTGTTAAACTGATGCTGACAGCACAATCGGGATGAAATTGGCGATTGTAAGCAGAGCCCATCACAGAGGAGGCTCAAACTTTCCCCACCCCCCTCCCTCTCTCCCGGCCTCTCCTCGCTGTGCAGTACGAGGGGACGGTGCGGGAGAACGAGCTGGTGACGCAGGCGGTCTTGCTGGACATTCGAGATGCGGACGCTCCGGGCTTGCCCGCGTGGCGAGCCGTCTACACCGTCACTAGCGGCAACGAAGAGGGGCACTTCGCCATTGCCACCGATGCCAAGACCAACCAGGGCGTATTGTCCGTCGTCAAGGTTTGTGTGGTCAATGTGTGTGTGCAGTGGGAGCGGTGGTGCAGCGGTTAGCGCGCTACGAAAAGCAACCTGGCGAGCCGAGTTCAATCATCGCTGCATGGGTACCAACACACAGTGACGATTATCTGAACCGGTCTTGGGTCTCCCCGAGGTCGACTCAGCCTCAAATGAGGACTTTGGTGTGGTGGTGTAGACATCGCCACTCGGGAGTCAAACGAGACGTAAGCTAAAAAAGCTGTTTAATTACAATGAACATTATAACGGATCGTTATTAATCGAATACATATCGGGGTTACACCAGTAATGCAAAGAAGACTTCCTGAATATGCTGGTCATATTTTCAAGCTAAATTCGTGTCTAATTGCCGCTAAATTTGGTTGTTATTCGACTGACAGGTGTGAGCTGAAACAGACAAATGTAATTGGTTTGGCTTTGTTGAATTACAGGTTGATGTAGAGACTGGCCAATTGGTTGTCAGTGGTGGTGCGGGTTGTCTTGAAATCTAAAGATTTTAAATAAGGTCCTACTTGACAATAAAAATATAAGAAAGGTTTTTGGGTCAGATCGCGTTATTTAAAAATGTGTCGTAACCCTCCACCACCAGATACGGCCAAATAGTAAAAAATGTGTCACGTTTTTTAAAGGACAAAATAATTCACTTCTTTAGCCCACCGGTGTGTTGAAGAGAGAATCAACAGCATTTTTAATTTGAGTAGCACGACGTTTCGCTGATAGTTACAATCAACTTCATCGGGCAAGAATTTGGCCGTGTCGGGTGGTGGAGGGTTACGACACATTTATAAATAACGCGATCTCACCCAAAAACCTTGATTATGAATAATATTGGTCGCGAAAGCCTACGTGTTAAATAAAAATATATATCATTGGGATAGGGGGGCAGGGAGCGTGGGGGCGGGGGGGGGGGGAGAGGTCAACGGCCCCGTTTAGATCCGCTACTGTGTCGGTGGCGGAGGGTTTCACAACATCAATTTAGCCAGATCACGATACAGTCCAACCAACACAAACTATAGTGAATCAAAAACAGCAACGTCCTTGAGCTGCGACTTGAACAGTTGGGCAGAAGGGCGGAAAGCAGAGGTCGCAACCGGGTACCCGATACCCGTACCCTACCCGATACCCGGCTATCCGTACCCGGCCGGGTACGGGTAGCCGGGTACCCGTTTGCGACCCTGGTGCGGCCGGGTACGGGTAGGCCGTGAGTCACCGGTGAGTAACCGTTTGTCACTCATTTCGGGTAGGGTACGGCTAGCGTACGGGTACCCATACCCGGCCGGGTACGGGTACGGGTACCCATTTGCGACCCTGGTGCGGCCGGGTACGGGTACGGGTAAGGAATCGAAACCCGTTTGCGACCTCTGGCGGAAAGACGATAGAGGGCAAGGGAGCACAACAGCATGGACAGTTGGGGGTCCACGAGTTCCAGGCCACGGAGATGCACGAGCTGACCCTAGCTGTTCGATTCAACGCCGCCCGCATTTCTCACCACCGCAGCCACTGAACTTTGAAGCGATAACAACGGCTGACAAGACGGTTCCTCTCGTGGTGACGGTGGCCAACGAGGAGAAGCTCCTTCCCGGCGCGGTCGCATCGTTGTCGTCGTCTGCCACGGTGCTCGTGCGCGTCACGGACGTCAACGAGGACGCGGCTTTCATTCCGTCGGTGCGCATGGTGGAGTGCGTCGAGGGGTCGCCGCTGGGATCGCCGCTCGGGGTCTTCTCCGCGCAGGACCCCGACACTGGGACAACGCACAACTTCACGTGAGCATAAAGTCGCGCTGGGGGTAGGCCTCGGCAAGGTAAGGTAAAAGTGTAAAAACAATAACGAGCCCACCTTTTACCCTACCTTTTTACCTTACCACAATACAATCACTCTACCCTACATTTTACCCTTTAGCAGGTAAGGTAAAAGGTTAAAAGCAACGAGCCTACCTTTACCCTACCCTTTACCCTTACCCCTTGGCATGTCGACACCTTTACCTTTACCCTTTTACCCGGTAAATTACCTTACCTTGCCGAGGTCTAGCTGGGGGGTGGGGGAGGCTCGTAATAGCCATGTCAGGGATGGTGAGAAGTCCATAATCAGAATTGAAAAAAATCCTGGAGGAAGCTGCGATGAGCTATGAAGCTCTGTTTCACTGATGCCCAGTAACAGGTGACGGCGTGTATGTATCAAGCGTAAGATACCGCACACCCATTTGCTTTATAGCCGATGTTACAGACCGACCCCATGTCATTCAAATCGAGTTGGCCACTGGTGTGCCGGTGTCAGGGCCCAAATATGGCACGCGGCAAATGACTCAATGGGAATACACGTGACAATCAATGCCCACTACTGGAAACACCAATGCCCGCTTGCAGGCTAGGTTCTGAGTCACCTTGTGCCCTGCATGAACAGCTGCCACTGTGTTGAGATGAGATGTAAGTCACTTATCATGTCTAAACCGCTCTGAGATGGCCCTGCCCAAAGGTGGTTCAGCTATATATATAAAATTATCTTCTTGGTTCTTTCGGTGGTGCTTATTCAGACGTTGTCTTTCCGACAGACCTGTTCTTCACCTGAGGACGGCTGCTTGCGTTGTAGCCGAGACGTCGTGAGAATTGTATTTTATTATGTTTTATTTTTATTATTTTATTATTTCCCTTCTACGTGACTTTACTGAAAGAACCAAGAAGATGAATCCCTGCAGTCACGAAAGCTTTAAATCGAAATTTATAAAATTGTCATTCAACCCTTGGGGCTTGGTTTTCTCCATTTCTCATGGGGGTTCATAATTGCCGTATCAGGGATGGTAAGCAGGTGGTAAGGGTGAGTGTATGGGTTCAAGACTTAGAGCTGTGTCTATGCATCCTGATGTTAACTCTGAGTGGACCGGTTGTCCACAGCTACAAGATCGTGTCAGACAAGGCGGGCTGGCTGGCGATTGACCCAAGCACAGGAGCACTTAGCTTGGCTGGGGACGTGGACTATGAAGACCCCGAGTACATCCGCAATGGGAAGTACAACGTGACCGTCATTGCCATCGATGCAGGTGCTCACTCATCCCAGGGCTACGCAAGGCAGCACGACTCTGCTTTAGCTGCCGAGATCTGGTGCGAGCTGGCTCAATCAGGGTGATTTTGGTCATCAAATATCCAAAAGCCAACATTGGCCTCCATCGAAAGCGACACATCATATCGCCCAGGGCTTAATTCCAGCCAGGGAAAGATATGCACACCCAGCACACCACATCTAGTTTTCTTCTAGCTGTGGCTGTGGCTACTAGTCGACTCAAAACTGCTCTAGAGGAGTTGTACACCCCTAGCTGGCAGTGCTATTCAGTGGCCTAAAATAAGATGTTTCGCTTCGGATGATCGCTGCAAAGTATGACCTGTGTTTTGATTTAGTGTGCTGATCTTAAAGGTGCATTGAAAAATTATAATACTCCGATTGATGCTCCTGCTGTTGTGGAGTGACTCATGCAGCCAGCTATGACTGCAGGGTTTTGGTAGTACATTTATTGTAAAAATTCCGTCACAGTTCCTATAATCACTGTTTCATTGCTTACATGGCTTTATTTTGGTGATTTCGAAAAGTGTATTGGTTTAGCCATGTTTGTTTGTTGTAGTACGGAGTTAGACTGATGGCCTTAATCTAAGTTGTCTTGTGGTTGTTGTTGTTGTTGTTTGACTTGCAACAACTCTGATGATGATAATGATATGCACTGTCCTTGAAGTCGATTGATCCACACCCGAGACAGCTTTTCTTAGAGCCTAGTCTCCATTGGTGTTGGACCAGATGACGCCAAAAGGCATACCAGTTGAAAGGGTAAAAACCTATCACTATATTTTGCCACTGGTAAAGGAGGTTTCATAGTGTAAAGGAGTGACAGCCAAGGAATGGAACGCATCAGAAAGGAGTTGGAGAGAGACGTGATCAGTGCAGGTGCTGAATGTATCGTTGCATCACGTGATCATGAGAGCTGTTGACAGTTTGGGAAACACCTTCTTTCAAAAGTGGATAGACCAAAGCTGACGAAGATAACTTTGATTGCTTCAGGTCGCCCGGACTTCACCTGCACAGGAACGGTGGTTCTGAACATTGTGGACGTCAACGACCATGCTCCCAAGCTGGCGGGGCCTTTGTTTGCAACAGGGGCCTCAACGCCACACCTCTGCCTGGCCAGGCCTTCTGAGGGTCTTCCACTCATGGCCACCGATGATGACTCGCCTGCTCATGGGGCCCCCTTCTACTTTCAATTGGTCAACAAGCCTCCCGGCACCGACGAGCTGTGGGAGGTCGTGACTCTGAACGGTGAGAGTGGCGGCAGAATCGATGCCTTTTTGCGACTTTCGCCATCACAAGTTTTGGGACAAAACAAATCAATTATCGGAAAGTCAGTTGATGTGTTTTGCTTATCTCATTTGATTACGGAAAAAGATAAGTGGATAGTAAAATGACCGGGTTGTTCAGAGGTGAGAGCTTTGAGCTTGACACCGCTGAGATGTTGGGTTCAAATCTCGGTTTCACTTGCCCGTGATGAAACCGAGTTTTCAAGTCCAGTCAACTAATCACATTCGTTATAGTGACAACTTCTTCATCACCGTAACATGGCCAGCCACTACAACGGCACTTTATGTGGCTCTGCACTCAAACGTGGCAAAGTTTCAGCTCTGAGAATTAAAATACTGGGATGTCATGCGTTGTACGTTACTCTGACATGCAGAGCGGGTGGGGATAATGCTCCCCTCTGCTGTGTCTGTGTGAGGGTAACATTAAGAAGAGATCTTAGAGGTAGCTCAGTGATATCCCATTCCGCGGGCCATTTTCCAACACAAAAGTTTAGCAACCCTCTGAAAGATTTGCGAATAGATTACACTGGTCAACACACTTTTTCTGGCATAAGGTATTCCGACGGTTTTAAGGTAACTTTGGGGTGCTGATTCCAAATCTGGCATCAGTTTTTGTCTATCACATCAGGTTTTTAAGATATCAAATATTGCATTTTCAATCAAAACTGCAGAAGAAAAATATTAAATAAATGTGGATATTAAATTTTTGATTTAAAGATTTCGTGACTGCAGGGATTCATCTTCTTGGTTCTTTCGGTGAAGTCACGTAGAAGGGAAGTAATAAAATAATAAAAATAAAACATAATAAATAATTCTCACGACGTTTCGGCCACAACGCAAGTAGCCGTCCTCATGTGAAAACCAGGTCTGTCGAGGCGACAGCGTCTGAATTCATTATGTTTTATTTTTATTATTTTATTACTTCCCTTCTACGTGATTTTACCGAAAGAACCAAGAAAATGTGGATATCTACATAAAATGATATTATAAACACACTATCCTAAAAATACAGCACCATATTTTAACACTAAAGCAGTCACTGACTCGCAACAACTTGCAATCAGAAGTGACAGAGTTAATTTCAGGTAAAATCAATGAAAATGGGGTATGCCGATAGCATAAAAATGAGATGTGATAGAGCAAATCTGAGTTCAGATTTGAAATCAGCACCCTGAAATTAGTCTAGAACAGCTGCAAAAGTCCAGGCCAGAAAAAAATGTTTTTTTTTTGTTGACCTGTGTTATTTGTCTCTTGACGCTGATAGTACAGACAGGATAAAACTGGGAGAAACAGACACAAGCTGACCTTTCTAATTTTCCTTATCATTCGATAAACTAGAGTAGCACAAAACATCTGGAAACAATTTCCCCTTTCAAATATGCAAGTTTGTATTTTCAGAGTACATGACCTAATCTGGAGAGTGGAGTGAAAATGTTTAATGCATTGGTTGATTGATTGCTCGCTAGGGACACATTTTGACAGTGAGCTGAATTCAAATGTCTGTTTTATCATTGTCATAAAATTGATTGTTTTCGTTCATGACACACTGCCATTTCACGTAAACCTCAAGAGCCAATGTAATGAAAGGATGAGCCACGTGCCAAAATCGGCAAAAGTATTTCACATTTGAAAAATATTTTCGAGAGTGCGTGATCTGAGTCAGAGAGCACCAAGACATATTTGACGCAGCAAACGGTTGTGATTGCTCCCTAAAGATATCTAATTACACATTTTCAAACAATCGTTATTATGGCAGTGACACAGCCCAATTGTTAGCACATTCATCATGCATTGCAGAGGTTTTCGATTTCAAAAAGGCCAGTAATTGTGGTTAATACTGTGGCATATTACCCGAGCAACACATGCCACCCACTTCATCGCGGATGTTCACAATCTCGTGACAATTTGAAATTAGTAGAACATCGTGTGCCGGTGTCACAGTCCAAATTTGCCATCTTGATACTGAAAATATTCAACTGGGATTTCACGAAGCACTAATTGACCCCTACCGGCAGACCAATGTTCGCATGCAGGTCGGTGCTTGGTGGCTATTCAAATCTTAATTTTAATTTTGGAGCTTTCGTGAGTGCAGGAATTACTCTTGGTTCTTTCGGTAAAGTGACGTATAAAGATAAAATAATAAATTAAATAATAGCATACGACGTTTCGATTGCAACACAAGCAATCATCATCAGGTATAAATGAAATAGCAACGAAAAATTCTAACCAGAAAAACTATAGACAGACATATAAGCAGACAGATATCTTGGTGATATAGTTTTTCTGGTTAGAATTTGTTATTGCTATTTCATTTATACCTGATGATGATTGCTTGTGTTGCAATCGAAACGTCGTAGGCTATTCAAATGTTTGATATGAGGTGTTATGTATGTATGTATGTGGAACTTCCTTCGCACCGTACGTATCCAACCATGATAATCAGATGTGGGGGGGGGGGGACAAGCAAAAACATTAAAAGCAGTTTGAAATAAATTAGTTTTCGATCTAGATTTAAAAGTGCATAGCTCCAGTGGCTTCCTAATATCAGACGGGAGAGCGTTCCAAACGGCCAAAGAAGCGCATCTGAAAGCGTGCAATGGGGTCACCGTCTTTGTTCGATGGCCAGCCAATACCGGAGGAAGGCTAGAGTTCGCTTGATGCAAGTCATGTATTGCATGTAAAGCACTCTTGTGATGCCCTTGCGTAAAGGAGGGCACTCTCTATATATATTTTAAAAAAACGTTATCATTCAACCCTTGGGGTTCGGTATACTCCATGACTCTATCAGGGAGTTCATAATGGCCATGTTGGGGTCAATGAGAAGGCAATATGGGTGCGAGGCATGTAAGCCCCATAGACATACAAGGTATATTATTACAGTGCTAGTCATTTATTCAAAGATACTAAAAAAATGTATCACCATGTTGCTGCTACCCCTGCCATTGCTTCTACTTATACCTCTACCGCCACCATTGCACGCCCCCCCTCCCCCATCTCACCCGTTCCCCTTTTCCTCTATCAAGCCACGAACGCGCGATTGCAGGCACGCGTGACCCCCTCAGGCAAGGGCCCCCTGCCCGGGGTGCACCAGCTCTCGGTGCTGCTGAGGGACCGGGAGGGACTCGGAGAGGCGAGACAGATCACCGTGCGTGCCTGTCACTGCTTGGGCCTACTCAAGGGCTCGGGTTGCGTGACTCCCGCTGGGTCGGTGGGCCTCGGATTCGACGGCTTGGCCGCCATTGTGTTCCCGATCCTCACTCTGCTGCTGTTCGGTGAGGGCCAATTCTGTTCGGCTGGAAATTTTTATTATTACACAGTCCTGGCAGCGATTTCAGCCGCACCACCTCTACATAACAAAAGGCTCAGTCCCATTTACACGCACCTTTACATCATCCGCACCAAGTTTACACAACAAAGGCTCATTCCTAGCAGCGTGCTTCAGCCGCACCGAACCTCACAAAAATAATATTCAGGGCCTACCTTGGCTCCTCCCACCCTCAACCAGTATATATACAAGGACTGTTTTCTTGGAATTTCTCTCACTTGATACAGCTATCGTGCTGTGACGGTTCCACCTGAAGACGGAAGCTTGTGTTGCCTCCGAAACGTCGTGATTTTTATTTTATTTTACTTTTATTAATTGTAATTTTTTACCTACGTGACTTTACCGAAAAAAAACCTAAGAATATGAATCCTTGCAGTCACGAAAGCTTCAAATCTAGAATAAATACACAATTCAAGTTCAAGTTTCATGTATTAGGTATAGCCCTGTGTGCCATGCGGCTCTTAAGTCGGGTGCAACCGCAACAAACTAAATATGAACACAGAACATCTTAAAGCGACGACGCGCAACAAAAACATCCTGGAATAAACCAGCAAATATTCCCAATTTTTTTTTATTAAAACGCTGTGTGCAAAAATCACAATGTGGTGCAAGCCAACAACAACAACAACCATAAGACAAGACAATTTAGATTAACCATATGTTTTCGAATCACCAAAATAAAGCTATAAAAACAATGTAACAACAGTAATCATAGGAACTGTGATTTAAATTTAACAATAAGCGATATGCACAGTTCAATCTTGAATTTGGAGCTTTCGTGACTGCAGGAATTACTCTATGGTTCTTTCGGTAAAGTCACGTCTAAAGATAAAATAATAAATTAAATAATAACATACGACGTTTCGATTGCAACACAAGCAATCATTTATACCTGATAATGATGATTGCTTGTGTTGCAATCAAAACGTCGTATGTTATTATTTAATTCATTATTTTATCTTTAGACGTCACTTTACCGAAAGAACCATAGAGCGATATGCACAGTTGCTGAGCACAGACCCGCACGTCAAAACGGTCAGCAACAAACAGCACGATGACAGTTGCAATTGACACGTTCGCACGTTTGTTGAATTTGAGTAACGTCATAAAGGCCCACCCGGTGAGCAACTGCTGCAACACATTCCTGCGGAGGGAGCTGGTAGGAACGTCGGGTTGCTCGGTCAATGGCCAGGGTCAACGGCGGCGTGGTGTATTCCGCAAATATGGCCGACTGTGAGGGCGGGCACAAGCCGGCGTGAGTAGGTTATACGTTGAGTTTTATAAGGGCACCACGGGGTGACCAGCCCCTCCCCACCCAGCCCCACCCCTCCCACCAAGCACCCAGCCCCACCCTCCCCACCCAGCCCCTCCCCACCCAGCCCCACCCTCCCCACCCAACACCTCCCTACCCTCCCCACCCAGCACCACCCTTCCCACCCAGCCCCACCCCTCCCACCCGCCACCCAGCCCCACCCTCCCCACCCAGCCCCACCCCTCCCACCAAGCACCCAGCCCCACCCTTCCCACCCAGCCCCTCCCCACCCTCCCCTCCCCACCCAGCCCCACCCTTCCCACCCAGCCCCTCCCGACCCTCCCCTCCCCACCCAGCCCCTACCTCCCCACCCAGCCCCACCCTCCCCACCCAGCCCCTCCCCACCCTATTCATATTCTTAGGTTTTTTTCGGTAAAGTCACGTAGGTAAAACATTTAAATTAATAAAAGTAAAAAAAATCACGACGTTTCGGAGGCAACACAAGCTTCCGTCTCCCCACCCTCCTCTCCCCACCCAGCCCCTCCCTGCACGACGGACACAATAATCCCCTGTGGGCTGGTGTAACCAGGAGGTCCCTACCAGTATTAACGTGCCGTGTCTCTCACAGGAGTTCTCTACTGCTGCTTCTGCCGGCAGCCGCGACCGGCGCTGAAGGTCCCCGATGTCTGGGCTGAGTCGCTCGTCCAGTACAACCAGGAGGGCGGTGGTGAGAATGCAACGGTTTGACTCCCACTCCCGGTGCTGCCACACTTATTGCATATAACAAGTGTAATAACACGCATGTAGAATCGGTCCTTTTATTTCACTTCCTTTGCAGTTCACAAACACTCCCCGTTGCTGGTAGGCAACGGGAAGCGGGCAGACAGCCACCAGAGACCCACCACCACGTGGCACCCGGAGCCCCACTCGCGCGTGGCCTCTCCCTCTCTTAGTTCCGTGTCTGACCCCGTGTCTCTCCTCTCTCCCCTTATTTAATGCCTGGGTCACGTGGTACCCTCTAGACAATCCTCAATAGCCTGCGCCGAATGTTCCAGATCCCCCATCAACTCCCGGGACCACGCCCCTGACTTGTCTTCCCATTGGCTGAGGCCAAGACCACCGAAACCAATCACCTAGCTGACATCCCGTGATCACGCCGGGGCCATGAACCCAGGCTCTCCCCCCATTGGCTGTAAAGCGGGACCGGCAAAGCCGATCACCACGTGAATCTGACATAGGCTCTTATTACACAAGGATGGTGAACTGGGCTCGTCAGCTCGTTGTGAATTAACGGTGCGCTTGTTCCGGCGTGTGCGTGTGCGTCTGCCTTGTGGTACGTACAGACTCTCTCATCGCTGGTTAATAATCTCGACCGTGATGCAACCTTCAGCAAACACGGTGGACTGTCCAGCCCCTGACATCGGCGTGCTGCACAAGCCTCCATCGGCCTTAAGTCGTGGAAGATTCCATGGGGTAACAGCTGTCATCGGCACCCGTAAACGGAACCAAGTGGCTTCTACGCTCCCGCCGTTCGACTGTCTCCCAATATTCTTAGGTTTTTTCGGTAAAGTCACGTAGGTAAAAAATAAAAATTAATAAAAGTAAAATAAAAATAAAAATCACGGCGTTTCGGAGGCAACACAAGCTTCCGTCTTCAGGTGGAACCGTCACAGCCACGACAGCTGTATCAAGTAAATGAGAGATTACAAGAGCTACCACTCCGTTTATATAATGGTTGAAGAGGGGAAGGGCCAAGTACGGCACACTTTGTATTAATATGGTAAGGTGAGGCTTAAGACTAAGAATAGACTGCATAACAAAAGACTGAGCCTTTGTTATGGAGAGGTACGATTTGTGACTACGCCTAGCCTACATAACAAAAGTGTGAAAAAAGAAACAAACTAAACATGGTAAAACAAGCCTGGCTGTCTATCAATAACCTGTAATAGTTGTCTGTCAAATAAGATGCTCCAAATAAGTGTAGTTAAATATTTTTTTGCATGGTTAATCACATCTTTCCAATGATTACTCAGTTTGTAACCATCATCACGGTGGAAATTATGTCTGTGTTTGTATATATATATCCCAATCCGATACCAGATCAATTTCACGATCGCTCTCACCGACTTTTAAGATCCTCCGTTGAACTCGTCCCCGTCTTCATCTTCCCCTCTTGTATTGCTCAACTCCCCTCTACGCACTCATCTACCTACCATCAATCATCTAGTGACATGTCCTACCCACTGTTATACATGATTTAAGTTTATCCGTTGAACCAGGTGAGAACGCGTAAGACCAAGATGGTCCCGTGTGCAAGAGCGGCTTATTTGAATCTTGTCATTAACTTCCGTACCTAATGTAATACACCGTGCAATTTCTGTGCACCTGATGGATTGCAATCCTATCGAGCACTATCGTTTGCGTTACTTTCGACAGTATTGCAACGTTATTACAATGTAAAAAATTAATCCGTACAAACAAAATTTTTCACTATAAATCCTTTATATGCGTGGCGGCTAGAGTCCTCTCGTCCTCTGGCTTGAGATGGCTGCCACCTATGGGTCAGATGATTGCATTGCACCATTAAGCAATTGGTAATTAAATATAATATTTTTGTCCTAAAAAGTGTACAATTTTGGAGAAAAAAAAATTCCAAAAAAATTAATTGTCACGCACAACGAGTCTGTGTGGAAAATGTCAGCTCGATTGGATCACGGGAAGTGGGTTAAAAAACGACCGAAAGATTTGCACGGTCGTAAGCGCGCAAGCGAACTTAATATAAAGGTTTTAAAAATGGTCGCGATGCGGTTTCATGCAGTCACACTCCATACGTGTACGCGTGTTGCTGTGTGCATGTGCAATATGCGTGTCTGCACGAGTCAACGTACGTACGTGTTTGCATGTTGTGTGTATGTGGGGAGCGGTGGGTGTAGTGATTAACGCACTGCACTATGAACCCCGGCGAGTGAGGTTGATTGCTGCTCACAGACCAAGTATCAGTGATGAATATCTGAACCGGTTATGGGCCTCCACGAGATCAAATCACCATTGAATGGGTGCCTGGTGTAGTGTGCAAACATCACATGGCCATGTTTGGTGCGAGCCAAACCACTCCCTCGTGTCGTATGCTGGTCATCATAGGTGCTCCCTAACAGCTTTAGCTTGTTCCGCAACAGATTGTTGAAGACTACAAGGGGAATATTTGTTTCTGTGTATGTACGTATGCATGTGTTTCTATCTTTTGCGACAATATTGCACTCGCATGCATCGCCTTCAGTGGTAAAGCATTTCACCTGGATTTCTTGCAATCGTTGGAAGCGAATCGGGTGCAAACCGTGCAATGTGATTGCATCCCCATTGACTGCAATGGAAATGTCTAGTGTATATTGGTCTTTATGCATGAAACAAACACTACATTTCACATCAGAAGCTGAACTAGTCTCTGGCTTGTATACTTGTATGGTGGTAGAGTTAGGCAGTGGTAACACCTGTGCCTCACAGCAAGATTAGCGTGGTTTCAATTCCCAGCTCAGGTATCTTTCTGCAAGGAGTGTATTTGTTCTCCCCCTGTTCAGCATGATTTTCCTCCAATTTATCCAGTTTCCTCCCATAGCTGGAAAAAAGAAGTGTAACCGATATTGGCCAAACATCCAAATGCTGAAATATTACCCGCATATTACTCAATTGGGATTACAAACGGCAACTTCACCGCCTACTGTACATTTGAACTTTTATGTCGACTCACAGATTTATCTTAAGACTCTGACTGATCTTCTTGGTTCTTTCGGTAAAGTCACGTAGAAGGGAAGTAATAAAATATTAAAAATAAAAATAATAAAATAATTCTCACGACGTTTCGGCCACAACGCAAGCAGCCGTCCTCAGGTGACCAGGTCTGTCGGGGAGACAGCGTCTGAATGAAACACCACCACGCTTGGAGCGTATATTTAAGCTAGGTTGGAAGTGGGGAAGGGTGCCTTGACAAAATAATTTGCATATCAAGAGGAATTTAGCATATTTGATATGCAAATTATTTTGTCAAGGCACCCTTCCCCCCTTCCAAACCAGCTTAAATATACGCTGCCAAGCCTGGTGGTGTTTCATTCAGACGCTGTCTCCCCGACAGACCTGGTCACCTGAGGACGGCTGCTTGCGTTGTGGCCGAAACGTCGTGAGAATTATTTTATTACATTTTATTTTTATTATTTTATTATTACCCCTCTACGTGACTTTACCGAAATAACCAAGAAGATTAATCCCTGCAGTCACGAAAGCTTTAAATCGATACTCTGACTGATATCAAAGTCGCAGTTTCCGTACCATCACATCGTCTTGTCGAGTTGTGGATGCAACTTAAACTTTCTTAAACTAATTTGTGAGAAGACAGATCAAGTCGTTGGGCTTTCCACATCAATTGCGTAAATTGGATGGTTTTATTTTTCAATTTAAAGCTTTCGTGACTGCAGGGATTCATATTCTTGGTTCTTTCGGTAAAGTCACGTAGAAGGGAAATAATGAAATAATAAAATTAAAACATTAAATACAATTCTCACGACGTTTCGGCCACGCTGTCTTTCCGACAGACCTGTTCTTCACCTGAGGACGGCTGCTTGCGTTGCGGCCGAAACGTCGTGAGAATTTCATTTTATTATGTTTTATTTTTATTATTTTATTATTTCCCTTCTACGTGACTTTACCGAAAGCACCAATACTATGGATGGTTTAAGTATGGCCATAGATGGGACTGTAATTCAATCAGAATTGTGGGCGTTATCCTGGATCCCAGTTTGACACGAGGCCTACGTACACGTAACGCTACCAAAATCTCGTTTTTTTCATTTATACGCAGCATAACTCGAGCAAGTTCCATTGCTGTCCCTTCCCGATGCTGAGAGGCTGGTGCCTTTATTTTTTTATTTATCAAGTTTGGATTTCTGTAATGCCATGGCTTGCTGGCGTTTTAAAATGTGTTTGATTGAATTACAATATGTTCAAAACATGCTAGGCGTTATTAAATGGAGTAATTTCCGGGTAATAAAAAAGGCGCATTTGGACAATCATATTTTTTGTTATATAGTTAATGCACCCACATTAAAAACCAAGACAACTTGCTGAATTTGCACCACGAACCTCTGCAAACAATGGCGATAGGGTCATGTGTTGTTCGCTCCACCTGCTAGGTTCTTCAGAAACTGAGTTTGAGATCCTTAATAAACTCCGAGCACACGGAATGAAACATTAAACATCATGCCAAACAAAGGAGTGGTGTTATCTTAACTCGTCAGGCTTGCTGGGGATCCTTGCGATCTTTTTCTGTCTACCTCATAATACACCATTTTGCGTGTATATTATGCTGGTATTTTCATGCGTTGTGTTGCCTATGGTTGTGATACAATCATGCTACAATAATGCAAATTGCTGTCCATGACAGGATATCCCTCCCATAGCAAGATTGCCGAACAAGTCTGAGCCTGCGAACGCGTGCCTCTCCGTGATAGTTGCCGATGAGATTGTAAATGTTGAATGTCATCTCACCTGTTCTGTGATAAACACACAATGGAGACAACTTATACTGGTAGGAACCACCTGGTTCCACCAGCCCACAGGGGATTATTGTGTCCGTCCGTCGTGCATCAAAAAATGGGAGGGGTGGGGCTGGGTGGAAAGGGGAGGGGCTGGGTGGAAAGGGGAGGGGCTGGGTGGAAAGGGGAGGGGCTGGGTGGAAAGGGGAGGGGCTGGTCACCCCGTGCTGCCCTTATATAACTCAACGTTTAACCTACTCACGCCGGCTTGTGCCCACCCTCAGTCGGCCATATTTGCGGAATACACCACGCCGCCGTTGACCCTGGCCATTGACCGAGCAACCCAACGTTCCTACCAGCTCCCTCCGCAGAACAATGTGTTGGTAGTATATTTTCAGACTTTTCTTGCCAAAATACATTGTAAACCTTGTAAAGATCCCTCGGCTTCACCCGTTGCTCGTATCAAACCCTTACTCCCCGGGGCTCAAGTTCTCATTTTGCCTTGAAAGACCATTAATTTTAAGAGGCAAAACGCTCCTGGCACTTTCTTAACAACGAGACTGCCTCCAACACAACTGCTTGGAATAAATCCGCAAAGCTATGGGACTACGCATTGGTGGAACCCGAGTTGATCAACCCCTCAAATCTCTGCACCAGATCGAGTTAAAAGAGGACGTCACCGGGCTGCTCCATTTACGATCGTGAGCACGTGGGAGGGCCTCACCATTCTGGCAAATTGTCCCGATTCTGCTGGATGTAATTACCAGCGAAACGTCGTACTTAAACATTGTAAATTATGTTGATTTACTCACACCGGTGGACTAAAGTAGTGAACCATTTGTCTTATGTAAACGCGACACATTTTTTACCGTTTGGCCGTGTCGGGTGGTAGAGGGTTACGACACTTATAAATCACGCGAGCTACATGTTAGACTAAATCAACCCCATTGCTAACATAGCGCAGCGAAACCACTGGTAGTTTCCATACAGAGCACAAAGTCCAACACGGCACGTTTATGCAACGACGAGATTTATTTCAGAAGATCCGTATCATTCAAACAGCCACGTTACACTTTGAATGCGGTCAGCGCGTGGGTCCTGCCATTCCGCTCGTGGTGCGCTCGGAAGTTGGGGTGGCAGCAGAATTTCAAGGCCGCGATGGTGATCACGAACTCGAGGAAGTCGACTTGCCCATCTTTGTCATCGCCAAGGTCCCGCAGGATGCGGCTCACCACGAACCCATCCACGGGATTCTGAATGGAAGCACAACAGCAAGAGGGAACGAGGAGTTCACCTGGATCTAGGCGACGGACTGCAGAACATCGGCAAAATATTTAGTAAGTAAAACTGGTGCTAGGGAGGATCACAACGGTTGCACACGCAGAGCAGCCCAGCGTATAGAAACGTATCGCAATGCACCTCGCACCATCCACAAACGCATGCTTCAGGCAAATGGCGGATAAAAAAAAGTGCACGCGAGATTAAAAAGACTGGATTTGGCACAATTTAAAATTGCCAAAAGCTACAGAGTAGGACAGGATTATCTTTATGTGTGGAAGATGCACTATTTGGCCAGGAGGGGATGAAAATTTAGCACGAAACTCAAACATTACTGAAAACGGTCCGAAGTTGCACCACATGTCTGCCGAAACCGGAGGCTATGAACATTTGACACACATCGATGTAGTGTGCAAAGATAATAAGTATGTGCCACGAGTACGCTTGGACACAACTTTCCTCCAAAAGCAGTGTTAACTAAATGTGTCGAGATGATAATGTGCTCGACCTTTGAAACAAGGCATGGGATCAGCTGGGACAGGCGACCGCATGGACAGCCGGCGTTATAGGCCATAGGGAGATGACTAGAGCAGGAAGTCCACGGTTCTACGACACGCTTTTAACCCACCTTGCATGCGTCCAGGTTAAACCTCGCACTGCCAATAACGGCAACATTTGTGTAAACCAAAAAGTGTGAGAAAGACCCTCATTTGGAGCAGTGGACTGTATGCGTACATGTCAGAAAGGGTAGATTAGAAAGGTACGATCAAATAAATAAAAATGGGATGATAAATGGATGGACTCGTCTATGTGAAAATGAGATTTGCGTCTCACCTGGATCAGACTCTTGCCCTTATCCCCCTTCAGGAAGCTCCTGAACTTTTCCTTCTTCAGACAATCTTTGACAGCGTTGTCGTGGGCGAGCTCGGTGAAGATGGACAGGAGCTTCAGGGTGGCTGCATGGAGGTCGCTCATCTTGGCAGAGGAGATGCACGGTCGAGTCGGTACGCAAGAGGAATCTGTGAGGCCACGGCAAACAACGAGACGGTCTTCAAAATCACGCACACGGCACCTCACTTTACACACCACAATGTGACGAACCGCAAAACGACCGAACATCACGTAGCACTCCCAGCTTTGCTCCAAACACTCTTTCATAATAACGGTTTTTAGGTTAGATCGCGTTCTTTATAAATGTGTTATAACCCTCCACCACCCGACAGCTAAACAGTAATAAGTATAACCAGTAAAAACAAAGTTTTTCACTATAAATCCTTTATATGCGTGGCGGCTAGAGTCCTCTCGTCCTCTGGCTTGAGATGGCCGCCACCTATGGTAAAATTTTGGAAAATGTTTTTCACGAACATTGTCACGCACAACGAGTCGGTGTGGAAAATGTCAGCTCGATTGTATCACGGGAAGTGGGTTAAAACACGACCGAAAGATTAGCACGGTCCTAAGCAAGCAAGCGAACTTAATATAAATGAATTAAAAAGTACCACGTTTACAAAGGACAAACAGTTCACTACTCTAGCCCACCGGTGTTGAGCAAATCAACATAATTTAAAATTTGCGTACGACAAACACAATTTGCTGGGTCTAAACCTCAGCCAGCGCTGCGCTCTGCTCTCATCGAGCCCAGGTAAACCCCTCGCGTCGCACAGAGATCCCCACAGCACGAGGCGTCTTCCCCAACACAGCGGCGGCACAGAGACCTGCAAGCGACGTCTGCAACTTGAACAACGACTGCTGCTGCCCCCGTCGCGGCTTTTATGAAGCGCCTTCCAGTGACGTCACCACTCACACGTGCTCGCTCTCATTGTGCGATCGAGTGATTATCTCTTTGATTGGTCCCGTTCATCCAGTTTCCCGGCTGATTTACAAGGAAAGTCTGAGCACTGCGGCAACAACATCCACAGGCAATTCACTGGGAGGCGCGTGCCAAGCGGCCCCAACATTGTCATCAAGCGGCCCCAGCATTGTCATCAAGCGGGCTCTTGATG